CTCTCTGCGTCTTTTCAACCGTTCAAAGGCATCTGAAGGCCGAAGCTTCGAATCAAGTCAAAAACTATTTCGGATGAGATGATCTACCATCTACCTTTTGTCCACATGCACACTCACATGAGCTATTGTGTCGAACCTTTCAAATTGCCTCTGCTGGCACATGAAGTCACTTGCACATCGAATAAACCCATATACACACATATCGGCGTACGTAACGCCTCAGTGCATGAAACCACCAATAAGACTTTGCAAAAACTTACAGTTGACATCTTCGCCGAGAACAAAATGATGGGAGCCTTCTTCCTGATTTTTCAGTCTCTTTTACCCTGTCGCTCCACAGCCTCGGGTTTATCGAAACAACTATTTACACAGAATCAGCGTCGCGGGTCGCGACTTCGAATTCTAAAGAAACGTGTATCGGCATGTCATGGGCGTACTTATGAATTGGGGAAGTCACGTCACAATGCTTCTTCTCTTCGCCAAATGTCTGTTGGGTTTGCCACGCTCGGTTTACTTAATATAGACTTCGTTTCGAAGCACAATCTGTAGCTTCCATGAAAGGTGACATAAGAATATCTCCATCCAATCAACGTCCGACTTGCAGACATGATGCAATCAAGAAGAAAACTCACTGTTATTAGACATTCGTGCTACGTAGGATATCAATGTCAGATTGTCGACAACCTCGAACCGCTTGAAACCGCCGGATTGACTGGCGCGCTGGGAAAGAAGCAAGGCTACATGCTGTTATCATGATGGAAGAGTTTGAAACAAATATCTATAATCAGCTGGCCCGAATAACAACAGATAGAAAATGCCAGTGAGGTCACCGAGTCCGCAGGACCGATAATGTTGAATCCCGGATACCGGTCGCTTGTTCTCCTCCATGGCCTTCGGAAGTAGCTGCGTGCGCACGGGACAGTTTTGACGAGCAAATAAATGCATCAATGACAAGCATACCTTCCATAAGGCGCATATCAGGTTTGACGCAATGATTGCTGGTCGGAAACGCCATCCTATATTGACCGGAACAGAGTTGATCATCGTCTCGCGTTGCTCAACTGAGATAATCATCATTGCAAACGATGTGCCTCCGAAACCAAGATGCGGCAACAAACAATGTCCCATTTTCGTGTTACCAAATTGCATGATTTTTCGCATGGCTGTCCTAGTCACTTGGTCGAAAGGGTTCTCGATGGAAGGTGAGCAACTTCAGCCACCATTCCAACACCATTCTAGCATCCGAAATTTGAATACATTGCCTTGTGTCATAGATATTCTCGGGAAATGGCGAGAAGATACTCGGTCCAATCCACCACCCCGTTGACACACGAGAACTTCTACTGTTAGAAATGATCCTCTAAAGTAATGATTATACTTATCGTAAATGGCGGAAGTGCCTCGGACACGAGATGACCTCCTTTCATCTTCAGCCACCACCAGAAACAGACAGGGTTGAATTTGCTTCAATTTGGGTGCTTCGGGAAGCCAAGGTTTTTTGATACCCTGAAACATGCAGCTTTCAGAAACCCAGACAAGAAATCTGAAGAAGTTTCGAAGTGTAGATGTACACCGAAGCGCGCTTGAAATTGACGAGCGTTCTCGGCCCAAGAAGCATGACTTTAAGTGACGGCGAGGAGCCGTGAACATGTTCTACAATGAAATGTAAGGTTTCATTGTACCTGGAGGGCGTGTAGAGGGCTTTTCGAATGGATAATTGCGGAGATTGTGGCAAAGGCGCCAGCTTGGAGAAAGAAGACCTTTCCACCGTACAGCTGCGCCTACATTTCACTTGTGACACCTCTGATACAACATGAGGTATGCGTGTTAAACCCGCAGGTCAGAAGAAGGAAAATATTGACATCGAGTTCTCGGTAGTTTGAAATCGATGGTGGACAACGAGTGTATGGTCGAAGTCTGTTCAATTTGGGACCGGTGGTCAAGAAGTGTCGTTGAGCACAGAGATTATTCAAACTAAGTCCAAATCGTTCTTCGTCCACTAGAACCCTGGGTGTTGAGATTGTTCTTAGCATGCACCGGGTCTAGTCCATACAGTGATTCGCAGGTTGTTGCTGCAGTGATCACCAAGTCGCGGATAGGGTGGTAGCCTGTGGTTGCGCGAACTGAAAACGAGTCGCGTTAGTTTAGTGATAAACTTGTTGTCAAACGGCGTTGACTTGGAAGACAAATAGTAAGTAATAGAACTTGAAATGCAACCAAATGGAGCGAAGTGACGACATCTGCCTTCTCTCTCTGCGGGCGGGCCGCAATTCTCCGCAGTCCTGGCTGATCCACTGGAGTCATCTGTCCAGAGTATGATCTACAGCTTGAACTTGCACTACCAACTGCAGCCTATACAATCTGACTATCGGCCGCACGACGTACAAAGGACCCTGAATCCTTGTTCGATAACTGCCCGGTGACTTTTGACCACAATTGACAAGACATCTGTGCTCCATCTTGTAATAATTCAAACGAGATTCAAATCAAGCTATCGCGCACGATGCCAGTTCCACTCATTCTATCCGAGTTGCCCGTTGAGGTGTTCCTTGACAACCTCCTACCATATCTACCAGTGACGGACCTTCTTCGATTGACATGTACCAGTAAAGTGCATCTTCTTCTGTACGATCATTTGCTCGAACGAGTTTCCTTACCAGCTTCATGCAGTTGTTCGCGGTTCTTGGTTCGGATGACACCTTTTGGAAGCGAAAATTGCAGGAGGACTTCAACTTCACAGGCGAGGGGACCGCACGAACCAGTGGATGGAAATTCATTTATCGAGGCCTGTTCAAACCGCGAGGTGAGTATCCAAGATAATGTATGCCAACAGCAGACTATACAACATAAATTCTAGTATTTGTATGGGGGTAAGACCACTGAGCTTTACTTGTGTATATTGAATCCTCTAAATTTTCCAACTGTTATCCAGTGAGACCGCCAATGGTCGACTCGGCCTTTCCGTGATTCCCAAGACAGTCACACAGGGAGTCCCGTTCCCAACTCAAGTTCGTCTCCCAGGCGTTCGTGTTGTGAACCTTGTGGCAGGAGGAATGTTCGTAACCTATATCCAAGTTGACACTGAATTATTAAATGCCGGCCTTACCTACTATTACCAGGTCATTCCATGCTCTGGATTCAAATGGCAATGTTCATGTTTGGGGTATGCACATGCCAGTTCTCTATCAGGAAATAATTCACGTTCGTTCTAATTTAGGAACGTTGAGCGGATTATACGCTGCTAACATGTCTAACAGCAAAGGATATTCTGAAAGTGCTAAACAAGCAAGGTCACCTCTGAAACTTGAGATGCCTGCACCCATCCGCAGTATCAGGTAGGAAGCATGTCAACCTGTAACATCGTTTATCCAAGGCTTTATTCACATGTCGCATTATAATTAGCTGTGGGCGTTTGCATTCGTCATGCTTGGATCGTACAAACACAATCTGGACATTTACAAGCTGGGGTCGGCCCTACCGGTTGTCGTCCTCTCTTTTTGATGATCCAGGTTTTGTTGTCCATCAAGTCGAGTGCGGGTGGGCGTTCTCATCGCTTCTCACGAAATCGGGAGAAGTCTATGTCTGGTGGCCCTTCGCAGGCCGTATGAAGGAGATTATCGACGAGAGAAACGATGCGATGGACGGAGAAGGCGACAAAAAGGCTTTACCGACAAAGGAAGGCGTCATTCCCTGTGTGACCTGGGTAATGGATATGGAACCGACGAGGTTGCCGGATTTACCTGCTCTTCCTCGTCTGCGGGATACTGGCAACGAACAGAATACAGATCCAGTACAACTCATACAGATTGCAGCTTTTGATAATCATATTGTTGGATTGACTAATTATGGCCATGTCCTCAAACGTGGTTTTCTACATGACGAGAGCGGAGTTTCGCAAGGAAGATGGGATTATGTGCGTGTATCTTCTGGGCTGTAGGAGATTATCCCCTCATTCCTATCCCAGCTTCCACAATACAGCGAGGCGAAGGCGGTCGGATCGCATCCTGTATTTTCAGATGGAAGCAACGAAGGAGGGAAGCTGGATCCTCCCCAGACTATGAAAATCACCCATGCAAGTTCTTTTCTCACTCACGTAAATCCTTTGACCTATATTGATCAAATGACCAGATCACAGCGAACTTCTTAAATTTTACTGCGTACTCAACCGGCTCAACTTCGATCGTTCTCATAGGCGACACAAATACCTCACCGCAGTCTCAACCTAATATAATCCCTGCCCTGCAACACAAGTCCATCATTTCTGTGGTCATCGGCGACTATCACAATGCGGCGTTGACGGCATCCGGTAAACTTTTGACATGGGGAAAATATTCCAACGGAGCGTTAGGCCTTGGAGATCCTCTCAAGATCAAAGTTGGTTCACCAGGCGGATTTGCTACTTCGCGTGAACGTGATCTAGCGGAAAGCAAAAAGCGCGGTACACCGGACACCACTGTGGACATTCCAACCGAAGTACGCTTTGACCACCATAGCAAAGGACCCAAGGACCGGTTCTGCTTTGCTGCAACAGCAGCCGGATGGCACACCGGGGCATTAGTGATTGACTTGGAAGTTCGTTTTTCCGTTATATCCTTCAGATCTACCACTGGCTCACACTGGTGTTTCTAAAGCCTGGCGAGGATGAGGAAGAGATCCCAGTTCAAGCAGCAAGACACGACCTTCCTACACCTGGTCAGTCTCGGTGGGGTTCGCCACCAATTATACCGATGGCAGGGATCTTTCGCGTCGGACACGCAGGTCGGGGTGGTTTCGGAAGCGGTCTAGGCGGTTTGCATCAGCATAATCCTAACAATGGAGAAGCTTCCTAAGCTTTCGAATTTCATGTTTCACAAAGCGGAAGTTAATAGTAACCAACGACTCTGAAGAAAAGAAAGTGTATTAATACTATGGATATGGCCCTGTTGTTGTATACTCCTCGCAGCAGAGTAATGTCAACTTCACGAAAGGCTCACAAAGGTTAAAAAAAGAAAAAACAACACGGGCCTGACCGGGAATTGAACCCGGGACCTCCTCGAATTTGGGGCAACCCTAACAAGGAATCATACTACTAGACCATCAGGCCGATGATAGCATTTCAGTAATGACAGACATGGGGCGGAGAGACCAATATGTACAAAATACATCCCGTGTACAAAATTCTTTCAAGTAAGCTTCACTTAAATCGCGTCAAAATATTTCGGAGCGGTATTGGCATGCGGCTTTTCTTTTCTGCAGAAGCTGATGTGGGAGCTGCACTACCCCGTCGAACTGCATTTTCATTAGACTCCCAGCGCGTTGTGAAGACGCTTGAAATCGTGGCACGCTTACTCTCCCGCCCGCTGAAGATAGGGCCTTTGATGATGCGACTTAGCGAGTGTCTCCCAAGCGACTGTGCTGAACGATAGAAGGATTCTGAAGGTTTGAGCTCAACTTTGATACCCTCGGTGTCGGTTGTTGTCTGAAGTACGGAGGGGCGAGGGGTTTTTGGCAATCCTGTGGTCACCGGTTTAGTCCTGTCCTTGGCATCATCGGCGGGCGAAGGTTTGTTGATAAAAAGGTCATGGCTGTTTGGTGAATGCCATGATTTTGTCTGCTTTCTCGCCGATGGAGTACTTGGTGCTGAGCGAACTTGTGTCGATGTTGCGCCTGACTCTGGAATGGTGTCGTGTTTTAGAGTTCTTAAGCTTCTGGACCGATGAGGTTCTGGGAGTTCCTGGTTGACTTGGGAAGAGTGGAAAGCGCCCACATCGCATGGTAACGACGAAGTGACGTTTTTCTCGAAATCGAGATGTGTGAGAGCAAACCGAACGCTTTTTAGAGCTGTCCTACGACGGGGGGCTGGAGGTTTAGCGAGCGATGACCGTAGTATCACGGGAGGTGAGGACGAAGTACTATGCGCTGGAGGTGGCAGTTTCAGAGTATTTACCCTCTCTACTACCTTTTTAGACTTCGATGCTCTAGAATCGCTGGTTGTCGCGGCCGTATTGGGGGTTCCCCGTGCCCGTGGTTTTGAGAATGTTGCTTGTGGTAACTGCGTTTGACGACTTTTCGGCGTTGTCCCCATTCGTGTTGATGTGAGTACCTTGTCGGGATGATCAGTTAGCGTTTTTTGGCGGTCAAGGTCGCTTAGGATCGAGTCTGCGAAGGCCCACTCATCACCACCATCTACTTTCCCCGCCGAATCGTGAGCTGACTTTCCGATTGCTGATCGGGAGTTCCAAGAGGTGTCAACCGGAGGAGTGTGTAAGGCCATAGACGAGCACTGCAGACGGAGATTGCTTATCATGTCTTCAATTTCGAGTACAGGTGCAGCGGCAGAGTTAGCGACAGTGTAGGCGTTCTCAAATTTTGGGGTATAAGTCGATGGGGAGCCGAGAAAAGCTGTAGGAATTCCTGGGTACAGGAGTTCCTGCGATTTCACTTCTTCTTTCACCCGTAACGGAGGAGGAGCTTTTCTACCTCTCCTTATGGCAAGGGTTGCTGAGTTGCTTTTCGATGTGCTACGAGATGATTCCAAAGAAAGCGGTGAGGTACGGTGCGAATTCGATACCACGAGAGAGGGAACACTATGTTTTATATTTGGGGTTGAGCGTTGGCAAGCGTCGAGATCCCTTGAATCATGTAAATTCCCCTGAAAGTAAGACTTTATAGTTCTCAATTCATGCATCATGTCGACCAATTCTGCATCCATGGAATCACAACGCGAGGGTCGGAAAAGTCCCCCGTTGTCCATCAATTCTTCCTTATTGGGAGATTGAACACTAGTATTTACACGGGCATCTTGACCCGTTCGCGCTTGATGAAGGAAAAGCGAAAAATCCTCAGGAGAGTAAAGGGATCCTTCGGGAATCCAACGCATTGTAGGCTTCTCTTGAATGATGCCCCATGGACTGTGCTCAGGTGCTTGCCAGCATGTCAAGCTTTCCTTGAGGGAGAAGAAGCATGACTACTGCAACGAAGGACGGAATTAGAGAAACTTACGACCCATTTCCCGATGTTTAGGCATTCCTTGGACATTGTTCCGAGACGAGGAGAGGTCGGTGTTGTGATTAACACTGGTGACTTAAGATCCGCGTTGATGTCTCCCTGCGCATGCGACAGATGTCCTGAGAATAATTTGAGACGCTCGCCTAGCCCAATCATCGCGAGATTCTGAGATTTGCAGGCAGGGAAAGAAGGAACAGTATCGGATGACCCGCTAGATAGAGAGTCCAGGGTGACCGTTTCCGAAACCAAGGGTTGCATGCCATTAGACACCAGCAGCTGACAGAGGTCCAATGAGTAAGCGGAGAAACTCGATGATAATCCGAGTCGTTTCCCCTGGGCACGAGGACGAGGAAGGGTAGCCATCATCCCAGAGCAAAGAGAAAAGTGACTGCGTCCAGTTATGTAGCAGCAGGGCAGACGCCTTTGAGGATGACACGGCCATTTTGTTGGGGCCTGGAGGGCACTCATTTGTAAGATTGCCCAGTCCAAATTGAACTGCGAAAGAAGGCGCTCCACCAACTTTCAAATATTGAAAAATGAGATGACCGAAATTTGTCACTCGACAGTTCCGTCTCCTCAAGACTTCATTGATGAATGCAACAGCGTTGCTTTACATTTGAAAATGCGGGCCCGTACCGAGTTCGCCGAGGTGTCCGTCTGGATCACAACTCCCCTCTAGTTAATTTCGTACCGGTAGAAGCGACGCTCATGGGAAGTGCCAAAGAAGTACCTAGCCATAGGCTGGATTCTGGGGGAGCATGCGTATCGGGGAGAGGTAGATAAGCCACAAGGCTCACCATGATTACGATGGTGAAGCGCAAAGATTGCCAACGGTTTCTATGTGTGGTCGTAACAAAAGTAAATAGAAAGCCCCAATGGACACGCCCTTCTTTCATCTCCCTCTCGGGCCGCCGATTTCAGTTCGATGAAGACAAGCCAAGCACGAACCTGCGAAGTATCATTTCTATGGATGATATCCTTCTAAACAGCTTCGACGATGGGGACGTTGATGTACGGCTGAATTAGAGCTTGATACTCGCGGCGCATGCGACATATCATCACATGAGTTTGTGTCTCATGTTTTCCCGGATGAACCTCTCCACAGGCTCTTTGGCCTGAAGCACACATTACGCATGCCTCAGGACCCGACTTCTGTACGGATGCATGTATCTGAACACCTCCAAACACACCTTGTGCTCGGAGACATCTTCGTGTGCTACCAGGTGCTACCTGATCGTTTTTGTAATGCTTGGCCAATTCGATCAAATGGTACTGTAATTTTGGTGCATGGTTCTCCGTGATTGCAGCGCCATGTAACCCTCGTTATCTCGGAACCTGTGGGGCGCCTGATTGTGCTACTTTGCACCATTTCAATGCTTAAATAGTCGGTTGTTGGTTGAACAGAATCTCTTATCCAGCGACTTGCGTTTGTTGAGCAGATATGATCTTCCTTGCTTCGCTGTCTCTGGTCTTGCTTTCAGTATCCCTTGTCAATGCTGTCCCAATTAAGACTTCGGATATCGTGGTCAACGCTGCTAAGGGATTAAGACTCCTTAGCCTTGCCGAAGGCGCAGAGCCAGTCTGGAAGACTGAGGACGAAGCTCTTGACCTTCTCAGGTCTGGGATCAAGTTTGTAAGTCTTTGATCTATTTTGTGTGTCGATGATTCTCATATGCCTCATTTCTCGTCTTCAAGTTCGATGTAACCGAAGTGTACGCATTAGAGAAAGCTTCATCCTCAGCAAAAGTTGCGGCAGCTGCTGTAGTTTGTTCGTTGTTCCATTGTTGCTAATCTTTCTATAATTCATCTGTCAACATAGATCCCACACCTTCGCACCAGACAGCCCTGAAGCCCATTCTGGCAACTGTATCGACTGCTAATATGCAATCATATCTTGCGAAACTCACCGCTTTCAACAATCGCTACTACAAGGCCACAACAGGCGCAAGTGCTAGCACTTGGATTCGAGACACAGTTGCAGGCGTAAGTGCTTTCGTTGATGAGACGACCTGTATCTTGAGCTCTTCAAAAAGATTGCAACGACGTACGGTCGAACAGATGTATCCGTCAAACTCTTCACCCATAGCTGGGTGCAGTCTTCTATCATTGCCAAGATACCTGGGACGAACCCGTCTGGCCAAGTCACAATTCTCGGCTCTCACATGGACTCTATCAATCTCAGCAGCCCTACTAGTGGGCGGGCTCCAGGCGCAGATGACGACGGCACTGGGTCTGTTAATCTGATGGAGGCTTTCAGGGCTTTACTTGCTTCAGGCTTCCGACCGACTGATCCTGTTGAATTTCACTGGTATGCTGCCGAGGAAGTGGGGCTTCTCGGATCTCAGGCCATAGCGACCAGCTATAAAAACGCAGGAGTGAGCGTGAAAGCGTTTATGGAGATGGACATGTCTGGCTAGTAAGTTAATTGCTTGCTTTTCATAAATCGACTAATTTGTTCTGGAAGCTTTAAACCTGGAACGAAAGAAGTTATGGCCCTTCAAGCCGACTATATTAGCCCAGACTTGAATACATTCCTCAAAGCCCTTATAACTGCATACTCCAGGATACCCTGGGCAATGGACGTTGCAGTGAGCCCATCCTCTTGACTGTCCATCAACTAGTCTAAAAAGTACTGCTTAAAGTGTGGATATGCCTGCTCTGACCATGCCAGCTGGTACAAAGCCGGCTTCCCTACCTCCTTCCCATATGAGGCCATCACCGGGAACGACAACCCAACAGTTCATTCGGCTTCTGATACCATTAGCGTGACTGGGTTTTCTTGGGCACATTCCCTTGAATTCGCGAAAGTCGCTGTCGCTTTCGCATATGAACTAGCCATCTAAACACCATGTATAATTTGTAAATCATCTCCAAGACGACTCGAGCTGCTCGCTCAATCTGATGTCAAAATTTTGAAATGTCTGAATCTTGCGTGCTCCGCTGCAACAAGAGATATTGCCTTACGATAATTCTTGCCACAGGCGGCCAAATCCGTCAGGCCGGGATGCCGCCCAGATAGATAGTTCGCACGATCAATGATTGTCAAATTTTGCGCGAGACCGCTTTCCTCATATCTTCCTTCCACATACTCCATTA